TAATTAGAAGAAAAACAAAAGTTAGAATAAGGAAAGAAAAGTAATCATAGTATATTACTCAGTAGCGAACAGTGGCAAACAGCGTTTAGGTAGAGATAAAATCATGCACATTCATCAAAAATAATGAACCTATCCAAGTACTAAGGTAATGTCAAAAAGACACAGACGGCAATTGGAAGGAATTTCTATTGGTCTAACATGAGATCATTTTAACACCAAAAAGACAAAGGAGATCAAAATACATGATGCTAAAATAAATGGGTTTATGGGACCTAAGGGCAAAAAAGGACTCTGCTCACCTTTGAAGGATGCTAGGGAACCAGCTCATTACTACATTCTGAGAACTAGTCAGGAAAGGGAAAGAAAAAAGGATATATCTTGCCTTTCCTTTAAAACTACCTTAAAGTGACTAAATAGTTAATGAGGAATATTCTCCTGTATTGAAGAACAGCAGATAATAAATGGCAAAGGAACGACAAACTATCACTGTCTTGAAACTCCTAATAAAACAGTGATTCCAGGCAATTATGACAACCAGCAGCTGTGAGGCTAAAAGGCTGATGGAGAACTCAGACTGGACAATCCTGCAGCCATCTGAACTTACTGATGATCATTCTTAGTATTGTGAAAGAGAGTAAGCTATGATGGGCCCCGAAATGATGCCATAGAAAATAAACAGCATTTCCTGAGAAATATTCTTGGCAAAATAATAGGACCCAATCAGATCAAGACTCTAGATCAAACGAGCAATAAGTACAGAGGAAATGCAAGTGGAAAAGAAATCCAAGAGTGAGAAATTCAACACCGTGAATGACCTAATTTCTTTGATAAATCAATGGTAAGAAAAAGAAAGGAAAGAAAGTTGTAAGTTATAGTAAAAGACAGAACAACCAAATGCAGACTGGTTTAGATTCTGAGTCCAGCAAACCAATTAAAAATTTTTTTTCTAGACAATTAGAAGAGGTGAATACTGAATAAATCCCTTATTGATACTAAGAAATTTCTACGAATTTTATATTTAGTTCTAATAACTGTTTCTTGTATAAAGTGTCATAACATGAAAAATGTACATGAAATTATATGCTCTCCAGGGTTTCAAAGTATGAAAGTTATCTCTAGGACCTGTTTTAAATAATTCAGTCAGGTGGGGGGGAGCCAGTGGATGGGAATAAAAAGGAACGGTGTAGATGATGTGTTGATAGTTATTGAAAAACATTTGCAAGTTCTCACAACCAAAAGCTCAGAATGTAAATAATTATATACCTGATATTAACATAATGCAAAATTTTTATTAAAATATTGTAGAAGGGTTGGTAGAAAAGCAAAGTGAGGATGGGTGTTCAGTGCTGAATCACCATCCTCTAACAGAAGATATCAGCATACAACATTTAAAAATGTTAAATCAAGGGTACCCAAGAGAAGGAAATATTTTTGAAACATGGAGAAACAGCTAAAATAGTTAAAACGGGGAACAAAATTCAGAGGCAGCCAGAAAAATGGCGAGGGGCAGTTGATTTCACTATTACTCTTACAATACTGTTTCACTTTTTTAAACTGTGAACACATACAAATTCGATAAAAAATAAAAATCTTTTAAAAATACAAAACAGCTTTTACTTTTAAAAGTTGGGCTAAAGGCTGTAATCCATCTTAGGGATTATATCCTATCTTCAATCCCTCTCCTTCTTCCCCCTTACCTAATTCATTGCTGTATCATGTCATGATTCTGAGTAGATGTGAGCTCATTTACTTCTCTGTAACTCCTCCACCCTCACCCTGGCCCAAGGCCTCAAGATCTCCTATCTGGAATGCCAACACAGTCTCCTAATACATTTCCTGTTTTCATTCTTGTCACCCTCTGACACATTCCATACACAGTGGTCAGGTCAACCTGATGTCTTATAGGTGCAAAGCAGTGCATTTCACAGAACTTTAGGAGTGTCAACTTGGCCCACCAGAATAAACCCAAGGTCCTTAATGCAGCCCTTAGCACCCTGCACCTTCAGCCTCCTTCCTCCTGAGCGGGGATTGAGGATAGAATATAATTCATAATATGGATTATCGGCTTTTTGTCAAATCACTTTTCCCTTCATTCACTTGAACTTGCACCTGCATTCTGGCTGGTCTTGAACCCCACTTCTGTTTAATTAGCTCTTGTGCTTTGTGATTCTACAAAAAGTCACATTTTTCTTTCTATATTATTTTTTCTCTGCAGCCCTCCTTACCATGTGTAATTGCATATTTACAGGTTCACTTGCTTATTCTTCCACACACCCTAAGCTGCACGACAACAAGGATTGGCTTTGTTCACTGTCCTATCTCTGATGTCTGGAAGAATATCTTCCACAATAAATGGAATGCACTATAGGACATTTTTTCTGAAGCTGTAGTGTGCCTACGATCAGTGGGGGGAAGATCCTTGTTGAAATGCAGACCCTGATTCAGTGGTGCTGAGGGGCTTGAGATTCTGCATGCCTAACAAGCTCCGCAGTGATGCCAAAGCTGCATCCCCTTATCACACTTTGACCAGCAAGGCTAGAGAGTTTGCAAAGATAAGTGGCACTGATGTCTGTGTCTTTCCAGAGGGAGCATATGACCTGGTAATGGAGTTGTCACATAAAGAGGATCTATATCTCCACGTCCTGTCTTTGTTTTCCTACAGGAAGCATGTAAAACCTGCAGCCATTGATAACTGGAGAGATGGTGACCTTCCTAAACATTACACAAAACCAACAGAAGGCCACATCCAGCTATAACAAAACCACTCAAGGTGTTTATAAGATACCCAACTTATAGAAAGCAACTGGCAACTCAGAATACTGGAATAGAGATCCTTTCTGAAACAAAGAATCAAATAACCTAGGAGGGAAAGATGAGAATTTGAATTTCACTCTGCTCCTGAGTAGCTACGTAATCTTAAGCAAATCACTTATATATTCTGAATCTAAGTTTTATCATCTATAAATTGGGGCAAATGAGACCCATCTGAGAGGTGTAAAGATGAAGTGAGGTATGATGTATCAATTACACAACAGTGCCTGACATACGGTGGTCCTTAAAATATATTGAGTCTTCCTGTTCCTTTCTAAGGTAGAACATTTTCCTTATAACATTAATTTTCCAGGGAGTGGAATACATGTTTAAATATTGTTTGGCACCTTAACGTCTCAGAGTGAAAGGAAGGTACCAAGAAAAAAGCTGCAACAATGATGTAGATGAATACGTAGGTTAGCGGCAGGCATTTTGGTCTAAATGGATACTAGATTATGAATCAGAAAAGCTTAGCTTCAGTCCAGGGTTGAGCACTAACTAGATGGTTGATGTTGGATAATGTGTAATATCTCTGGACATTTATGTCACTTCTAACTCACTGTATTCAGTGTGCAAAACACATTATATCCACGCAGGAAATCCAGTATCCTTCTAAATCCTCTGTTGTTGTTTTTTTTTCTTTTAGGGGGGATATCAGTAAATTTCACAGAACCATTTAAAATTGTTGAATCATTGAATAAGTAAAAGAAGGAGTGGAAACAAGTCTGTTTTTTTCCTCCTAAAATCTCTACCAAATACCCTCACCCTATAGTACTAAACTTTTAAGAAGTATATGAAATCAATGAACTTAATTTTTCTACTTGGAGAATTCCATTTTTGTTTTTAGATTCCACAGACATACACATTTTCCTTGATAGCCGGAGTTTCTTTTAGTTGCTATAAATGATATTGAGTTGTCGAATATAAGAAGTATTATTTTAAAATGTAAAAAGGGAAAGAACAATTTAGACAAACTGTGCAAAAAACAAATTATTTTAAAAGGCAAGCTACAGGGGAAAAAATATGTTCTTTCAAAATAATTATGATATTTCTAATAATTGATGGGAAAAATCATCAAAAAGCTGCCTGAGTATGTATAGTTCTGTATCTCTATTTAAATGCTGACAAATGAATTTTTGGATGTAAAATTATTTTTTTATACCTTTAACCCTCCACCATGAGTTCACTGTAAATAGTTTTTGATTTCTCTCTATGTCCTTTTATTATACACTTTGCCCTTATATATCAAGTAATTTGTGTACATGATATTAAGCCATGGGGGTCATTTGGACTTAGGTGTAGCCCCTCAAAATCTCTGGCTCAGTCTCTGCATATACTCACATTTCTTGATATTCTAAATCATTCCTTTTTATCAATTCCTCACTATAACATACATTTAATTCTTGAAAATTCACCCATGTCTTACAAAGAAGGCAAGTTCAAACTCCTGCTGTGTATGACACACCATTAACTGCACAAGGACACTCTGTATTTGCTACGTTAATATTTACTGATGAGTTAATGTAATAATTGCCCATCTGTTCCTGCTGCCTATGAGGCATTTTCTATCTATAAGGATGGAAATTAATGACAGGGACTCTCTGAGCCACCTGACATCAGAGCTGCAAAGGATGTGAAAGGTATATAAGAGGTAGATACTAGTTGGCAAATGAGGGGTAAACACTCCAGTGGACACGAGCTGGAGCTCTTTTCATGAAGCTCTCCTACCATTGAAGGCATTTGCTCATATTGCTGGCACGAAAACATTAAAAGGTAAAGAATTTAAAGTAAAGTAAAGAATTACTTTAAAGTAAAGTACATTGAATTACATTAAAGTAAAGAATTTCCTATTTCTGGGAAAGTGTTATTTATCTCGGAAACTTGGATATGTAAACTTGGCGTTAAATGTATGATTTACATGAAAGAAAGGCTAAGGGGATAATGTATTATGATATCAAGTTCAGATTATTTAGAGAAGGAAATTGGGAAAGTAAAAATTTAGAAACTATTTAAAAATTGAACAGTATTAAGGGACTGCTATAGCAATACAAAATATTGATTGGTGTTTGTAAATTATGTACTAAGGTCTTTTTTTAAGTAGGCTCTAATTGAAAATGACATCTATTAGAACTCTAGGAAATTTTATGATTTCAGGGCTGGTTTATTCTTTTCAAAAACTTTGAGACGCGATGTGCCTTGTGAAGCTACCAGTAGTCCTCATCGTGCTGTCTGTTGCATTAAACCATCTGAAAGCCACTCCTTTGGGAAGGTTAGTAATTTTAAAATCCTGTTTCTTTTATAAAATTTGAAAGATCGAATAACACACTACTACATAACTAATAGCCCTTCTGCCGTTAGATTTCTGACTAAATCGTGTTTAGGAACATTACTTTAAACTGTTCCATTGTTCCTTGAATTCTGTGTTCTTTAAAAAATAATGCCAGTGGCTGATAAATCTCTCTGATGGAACTTCTGACAGACAGGAATGGATAGTTCCAGTTTTCTCAAGAAATATGCTGATGGAACTTAAAGGGGAAAAGCCAGAACATGAAGCAGGAAAACCCAAAAGGTAGTAATTTTACTCTATTGATCGGACACTGAAATAAACTGAAGAAACTTAAGTAAAGCATACATTTTATATCAAGTAGAATTTTATTGTGTCTTTATATAGATTTTTGTTCTTCTCAAGAGGCTCTGGAAAGGGGCAAAAATTTTGCACCTTTTGAAAATTGAATGTATAGAAATACTCAGAGGAGAAATTTAAGTTTTTAAGAGAAACTTAAAAGAACTAGTTCAGAAGCCATTTGCTATTTGTTAAGTGATTCATTCTACTTTTAATAATTCCGTTAATTAGACACAATCATAAAAGGCTATTTTTCATGAGATTACGTCTAAGCTGCTATAAATGTAAATTAATCCTACTTGGAATTATTTTCTGAAGGTACCATGGGCACAGGATTTCCTAGGGAGTTTTACTATGATGAGTTTCGTGTCATTTGAATGCTAATTTTAAGTAAGTCTAAAAACTATGTCAGATGAAACTGTCCACAGTACAACTTTCAAACAAAAACTCTTTGAAACTATAATTCTACATTTATTTAAAAGACTCTGCCTACATTCTAAATAATATAATGAAGTGTTTTTTTTATGTCTCTCAGTTTTGCTCCATATAGTTTTTGAGACTGAAATTAGACATTCTTTACCACCCAAAAGAATTATGTTCATTTTTTTTAACTTGGTTGATTTAATCATTCTACGATGTAAACATACATCAAAAAATCCCATTGTACTCCATGAATTTATCTATAATTATTACTTGTCAATTTAATTTTTTTCTCTTAATTTTTTTATTAAATCCTAACTGTGTACATTAATGCATTTGTGGGGCACAGTGTGCTGATTTTATATACAATTTGGAATGCTGACATCAAACTGTTTAACAAAGCCTTCACCTCACTTAATTAGTGTTAAGACCTTTATACTCTACTCTTAATAGATTTGACATGTACCCTTGCAATATACACTTAAGTTCATTTTTGAAGAGTGTGCTTTAAGTCATGTCAGAATTCTTTCTCCTTAGAATGACCATCTTGTCTTTGTTTTCCTTTGAAGGTTTTTTTGTTGGGGGCAGAGGCCCACAGCAATGCGTGAAGATTTCTGAAACACTCAGACATAATAAATAGCAGGAAACATCATCACATTTTCTTTGTCATTTCAGGGCTTATCTAGTTACAGGTTGTCCTTCTCAGAACTGACTGTAATTTTCAATTGGCTTTTTCATGGCTAAAAATAACTTTAAAACTGACATGAAGTTTCTTATAAGAACAATTGAATGATGATGGGAAAATTCACAGCATTACCTAGTATGTTTGTCTGTATCTTGATCTTTTCTTTCGTTAGACATAGTCATTTGCTAAGCACATTTACTCCAGGTGCCCCTATGGCTGTTCCCTTATTATGAGGTGAATTTCACCTCATAGAAATAGAATAATAGCAAACAATACTTATTATCAAATTATTTTCATTCTAGCCTCACAATCTTTTACTTCGAATTATTATTAGAAATACTTATAAAACATTTCTTCAGATTGCTTTTAACGTGTTTCCTGAAATCAGTATGTTTGGTCATTTTTTAAAAGGGGTCTGATGTATCTATCATCCTGAGCTGACAGATCACATAATATTCTATAACTCTTATAAAAAGCTAAGAAAACCTATGTAGAAAATGCTTCAAATTTTAAACTCCTTAGACAAACAAAACTAATGTCGATTTATATCATTTCTTCATAAAATTCAGCCACCCCATTGGAGATTTTTTTTCAACTTTTATACCTTTATGAGATGAAATTAAGAGGTTAACAAACTGACTTTACAAACCATATCAAAAAATAGTTGCATTACTTTAGGCTGAAAAGCAAAAGGATCACATACTTTCCCACTACCAACTTTTTTATGCCCTGCTGTAAATATCTGCCTGGAGGATAACCAGAGGTAGTTAAAAATTTAATTAAATAGGTGCCAAGCTGTTATCACTAGGTGTTCCCTATAAAAGCCCAGGCATCTCCCCTGATGAATGTGAAGATCCGGGAGCAGGGACCCATTTTAAAACCCTTGAAAGACATTAAAAAGAGACAATTTAAGAGTTATAGTTTGGCTTCTTGCCATTGCTTAAACTCTCTTAAAGTCAAAATTTCCCTGTGTACATGTGTCTCCAAATTTTAATGGTTGCCACTGGCTAGGCAGGTAGACAGGCTTTGTCTGTCAAGGAGGGGAAATGCCTGCAAGCAGGGATGCAATGCCTTTCACTAAGCATTTCAGCCATCTTTTTTCATTCTAGTGATTCGTTTGGGTAGAATCTTATATATGCCGAATAATACATTTAAATGAAATAGCTCTCATCTGAATATGCCATTCATATTCCAAATAGCTTTCACCTAATAGACTACTGAATTGAAAAGCAATTTCACAATTAGGAAACAAACATAAAAGCTCTTACCATTTCTTTTAAATAGAATGATGGCCTTTTTAGCTAATTTAGAATAATTTTAAATCCTAGTACTGACCTTCCAACCAATTATCAAAGTACCACTCAGCCTTTAGCATATTGAGTATTTCATTCATACTCTGCTCCAATTCTTTGCTAAATATTATCTGAGGACAGTTATCCCCTTCGAAGCTTCTCAGTTTGAACCATAGTTTAAGTTCGAGGTGTTTGGGCCAAATTCCAATTCTTGCTATTTTTCAGGATAAGTTTGCCTTTCAAAATGTAATGTCCAGTGTATAGAATTACTAGGTCAACCCTTAAAAGCTTTAAGTTGTTTTTTTTAAGTACACACTGGTCATGTTTTCTATACCTTCAGAGAGAAATAGCTGAGCAGATAGTGTGAATAAGATTGATACAGACCAAATAATTAGGTCCCAAGGTGGGTTTTCTTTGCCTGAATAATTGAGTTTGTCAGTATACACTTACACTCAACAAGTATCCATTTCACCTCATGTTGTAATAGGAATTTTCTTTATGTGAGAGAAAATGCGGGAATAGAAAAGTAAAAAACAACCGCTAAAGTTTACAAAAAATTTTAAAACATTTATTCTTGGGCTATTTCTGAACAGACATAGAGATAATACTTCCTACACACACACACACACACACACACACACACACACACCACTGAGAGAAATCTGCTGCATTTAGCCCCCATTAGGTATATCTTCTGGACATTCACAACTGGATCACTTGTGACTTTACATTTACCCTAATTTTCACAGATATTTTGCTCTCTATGGAGCTGAAAACTAAAATATTTCCCTACTAATCAGCAAAGAAGAAGCAATGCTATTACTCTGCACCCATTTTCAATACCATTTTGAAAGCACATTGAAAAAAAGGTAGTAGAAAAAATACAGAGTTGATATAAATAAATGTTTAAAATAGAAAAGTGAGTTAAAATTCAAATGAATTATTTAATCCGTGGTGTTGATTTCTGACTTATCTATATTATTATTAGATAATTGTGCCAGGTGGCGAAAAATGTGAATATTAATACAACTGATGTAAGAAGTCTTTTAGTTTCAATATTAACCTAGTCCTATCATTAAAATTTTTAATGGCATAGGATCCAAGTGGCTGGCAGGAAAATGCTAATGCTCATGGAGTTAGAATAAAGAGTAAGAAAACTTGGGTGGCACTGTGGCTCAAAGGAGTAGGGTGCCGGCCCCATATGTCAGAGGTGGCTGGTTCAGCCCCAGCCAAAAACTGCAAAAAAAAAGAGTAAGAAAACTCTCACACTGCAATAAAGTGCCTGAACAGGTGATCCATTTGATTCCTGGTGAGACTTTATAATACCTAACATTCTCTCTTTTTACTTTATTTTACAGTACTAAGAACATGTAACATGCGATCTATTCTTTTAACAAATTTTAAGCATACAAGACATTACTGTTACAGGGAGGAGGGAGGGAGGAGGAGGGAGAGGGGAGGAGGGAATGGGGGAGGGAGGAGGATTGGAGGGATCACTTCTGAGGTTTATCTTACAAGGGTACAAGTGAA